CACCCTAACACTAGAATATTAGAGGTCACAAAATCCCTTCTTGGTTTTGTTTGCTTCAGTACAGTTAAATCCTATTCTGCTGCTGCACTTATTGTGCATTGCTCTGGATAAGAGCATCAGCAAAATGAGTCACATTTAAAATGCAAATGTAGGTGCTCCAGTTGATGAGGATCCCTAATGCTAATCTTTACCACTGTGTATTTGCTGTTCCAGATTTGGACAAAACAATCTCCCTGTCAGCAGCAGACCCTTGAGATGATTAAAGGGATGCATAAATCAAATTTAAAAGATAATACGGTGTATATAAATGCTCAGAGTGCATTTGTATTCATGCTGGCATGCAGGGTATGCTGATACAGTGAAAACAGAATACTGTGCCACACATACATGGTGGTGGTCTTGCCAGCTCCGTTGTGACCAAGCAATGAGGTAACATGGCCCTCATAGAAGGAAACATTAAGGTTCTGAATGGCTGCTCGGTCGCCATAGATCTTGGTGAGACCATGGAGGGTAACGCCCACTGGGAGTGTTGAGAAATTCTCACCAGACTGGCAGGATAGAGTGCATTCATCTGAAAAGAAAAAAACAAAGACAGAGGCAACTTGGGAATCAGGCCTAACAGGGGACTGGACCTAAATGAACAGTGAGAGAGCAATATAGATGTATTGAGATGTCAGGGTTACAAAAAAAAAACAAACACCAGCCATGAAATCAAAGACATCATGTTCTCACTGCAAAACACCACACTGTAGGAGACAACACTGCTTATTGTTATCTGGTGTAGCATAGTACAAAGCTGTTTTTTTTCCTGGTACCTTTTCCCTTGTCATCAGGGAAGAGATGCTGGTTTTGCTGCATGATGTTGGTGAACAGAAGCCCAGTGCCAACCTGTCTCCTTGGCTTACTGCTACAGCACAGGTCAGCCCAGAAAGAAGCTTTGAAGGGGAAGTACCATGGAGCTGGGATGCCATATTTTCCTGATGGTTTGAAGAGAAGCTTCTCAGTAATGCACAAAACACTATTTAGAGACGAGTTTAAGAAGCAATTCATAAACTTCTACATATGTTTCAACTAGTGGCTGACTAAAATACACTTCACTCGACGTCTACGTAGCAATTTAAATGAATGATCCTCGTCATTCCATTTAAAACCATTAGTACATAATACCAGCAGTCTAGATATAGCCTACAATAGACATAGCATCACCACTTCTCTCTACTATGACAAAATATGGTGAATACGGTGGCTGTCATCTTGCTCTGTTGCAACCTGATTCTGAGCAGTAGCAACCAGAATCAAAGCTTTCAAATCAACTGAAATACACCTCTTTTTATATCATCAAATGACTTATTAAAACAAACTTAACAAAAGGCCACTTGTACACACATCAGCATGATAATATCTATGTGGGAAAAATTATTAGTTTATATTATAGTTTTTCGTGTGGCTCATGCACCATACACCAACATGGAGGAGGTGGGATTTATGACCTGTACTGCAGCCACCCATCGGGGGGGTGGTGTTGAGTTTTGGTGGCTTCACTACACTATCGATGGGACTAAACTCCATCCTTTGCACTCAACTCATCTTTCCCTCTTTACTTCTTATGCAGATTCTCTTCTTTCTCTTTGCTACATTCCTTAATTACAGCTGACACACTAATGAAACCACTAGTCTGTGTAACAATAGGAACTACTGTTGTATACAGGAATACAGAATTTACACTTGAACTGTTATTGGAAAGGAAGAACTGTTCTGTCTATGTTGTGTTAGTTCTGACAGAGGCACAGATGAGGAATAAAAACAGAATACCGCTGTATTAGGTACCCTGGACTGGACTGAGTTAATTCTAAACAGCATAACAGATACAACATAACAACTCATTTTTACAGTCAATGGCACAAACAGGCAGTGCAAATATTATCACGCTAATACTGATATGCTTATTCAGGAACAGCTGATGTGACTGAAAAAACTGAGCACAGTTTTAGATTGGAACAAGTAGAATCCAACTAAGTAAAACTAAGCCTGACAAGCGGTGACTCAAAATGGCCAAATATCACATTTAACCATACCAGCAAGATGAATGAGGGCAACTGCTTCACACATTCATTTATAAAGCTAGAAAACATGTTAAGAACAATTCATGTAACATATAACTGTAGCATTCAAAGCTCTTATCAACCTTGCATCAGGAATAATTAGACCAATGTCAAGACAAGAACCATTAATCTGCTCACATTCTTAAAGATGATTTTTTTAAAGATATGGTTTACCTGGGAAGACCATGCGGATGTAAACCCCAATGAGGAAGTACAGGATGGAGTCAATGAGCATCAGCCAGCACATCCAACCGAACGAGGCTGTGTCTCCAGCTAAGGGTGAGGTGTATGAGTTGCTCCACTGAATTCCTAAAAGATTTCAGAGTAGAAAGGTTTTACATTTGCCATCCACTGGCTCAGCTAGTTTGTTGGTCTGATGGTAGTAAGATGTCTGTTTGCTCATACCTTCTCCTTGGTTTTCATAGCGAAAGACATATTGACCGGCATAACTGAAACAGGTCGGGGAAAACAAACTCTGTAGG